GGGGGAAAAGAGGAGACAAGCAGTGGTGGTGGTCACCCCCTGGGCTCTAGAGTGGTATGAAAGCTCTGGCTCTGGCCAGAGTTCCTGCTGATAAGCTGGTGTGCTCACTGTGCGTGCAGAGTTCCTGAGTCAACACTGACATGCATCTGTGGCACAACCATAGGGGCCTATAGCCACAGCCCACTTGCCTCACCCCTGGATCTGCTGCTGATCTCCCATAATAGAATCTCATTTTTAATGATTCTGTGCATAAAGTCTCTCTCTGTATCTGATAAATATATGCCAAAGTACAATTGTTAACTTTCTTCCAAAAAAGCATGACATTTTAAGACCTGGACTGTTTCACTACCATTATTTAGAATGGATAGAAAAATAATTTACTTGCAGAAATAATAAACGAATATGCTAGCACATGGCTCTTTTCCCCATAATTACCAATAATTACCATAGAAATCAAATAACAACTGTGCCCAGTATTTTTTTTTAAAACTGCACGCTTGCCCCACTTCACAAGGTACCATCACCACCATTATGTTTATTATCTTGCTCTTCTGTGAAAAAGAAGGTGGCTATGTTACTACTCTGTCACCTTTTTTTTTTTTTTATTTTTTTTTTAGAGTTGCAGAAACATTAAGTGCACTTTAAATGTCAGATTCTACAACTGAACATATGGAAAAAGAAGAAGAGAAACACGATGCCTACAGGAGTTCCCTGGAGGAAGGAGCCAACTGGGGATTAGTGAAAATCTTCATTTGTTCCCTGGAAAAGGAAGCTAACCAGGACTTGATAAGAGATTCCAGGGGTGAGCCAGAAGAGTTTCCCAGAGAAGACTGAGAGCTGGGAGAGAAGCCTACTTGGAGAATTCAGGGCCAGAGGGCTGAAGACAGGTTAGTGTGGTGACTTTCCCAGTCTGGAAAGATAGAATTGGATGCCCAATAAACATCAATAGCAGAAGGGAAGCAGGACAGTTGTCTGCTGGATTTTCCTTGGTCTGAAACCTGGAACTGAAGGGCTGAAGGGGGATGGAGGAAAAGTAAGAAGGATTACTTGCTGACATCTCTTCATTGGTGAGCCTGAGACAAAGAAAGGAGGGTCAGGGCAAGCCACTGAGGGACCTGCCCATTGATCAGCTCAAGACAGAGAAGAAACAACTCCTCAGTGGAAAGGCTGGAAACTTCCTGATGGTGAGAGAAGGGAAGGACTACAGTGGATCAGTCTAGGTGGTCATCTGACAAAACAGAGTGAGAGTAACAAAATACCTAAACTTGCTGTAAACAGACTAGCTCAAGGATCTGCGACAGTCTAGCTCTGTGTCACATTCTCTTTACTACCACTTGCCAAGTAGGTATACCTTGAAAAAGCATTTTCAGGATGAGGGATGAGTACAAAAAAGAAAAGACAATGCCAGAACTGGGCCATGTGTGCTGTCGAACTGAGTTTTGAGTTTTTTAAGGCCTATAAGCTTAAAGAGAAAAGCAGACATTGAGTAGGGTTTTTAAGAGATTTGTGCACTGAGATAACATGCCACCACTGGTTTCTAACCGTATGAAAGACTAATGGTAGCTTCATTGAAAACTGAAAAGGCAGGTATGCCTTACAGCCCCAGGTAGGTGAGGCAGGGTTGGGGGGCTGTTTTCTAGAAGGAGCAGCAATGCAAAAAGTTAAGAATGTAACAAATGACATAATGTACAGATCAGCAACCTAGGGCCCATGGGCCAGATTCAGCCCATGAGCTATTTCATCAGATTTATTATCGCTCTTTAAATTGTCATGGACTTGAGATAATATATAGCTGTATGGAAAGCCTCATTTTGGCCTTCTCTACAAGTTACCTGAATCACACAATTACCAGGTTAATTGAGCAATTAATTTAGATGAGCTACATGAGTAAATTAACAATTACTCCATAAAAATTCCAACCAGCTATCAAGTTACTGCTCAAAAAACGTGTAATAACTTTATAGCTGGTTGCTATCAAATTTTAACTTGTACATGTAGCAGGGTCTCTGCAGTTGGGAGCCCTATCAACTGACTAGGCTCCCCCCATAGGGAGGTGCACCATGCGCAGCCAGGGCTGGGAGTCCACAGCTGAAATTACTCTCAGCCCTGGCAGAGTTTGGCAGCTGTGGACTCTTGGTTCAGGCAATGCCCCAAGGTTGCTGGGACCCACAGGCCTGCAGCTGCAGACAGTGGATCATGGCAATGGATGCTGGATTGTGGCAGCTGCAGGGCAAAGCTGAAATCTTCCAGCCCCAGGGGTCCATGGGATGCCCCCACAGCTGGGAGCTGTCAGCTGAGGAGGCTTGTCTGGATTGTTCATTAGATACCTTCATTACTCCTTTACCTGCACATGTAGAGGGTCCCATAGAAAGATTTGGTAGCTGACATACAATTTAAAGCTTTAAAAACTACTATTTTCTCTGCTTTTCTTTTACTGTCCAAATAAAAGCAATTGCAATATTAATGTGAGTGAAAGTACACAAGAACACCCAGAGGCTTCCCTCTGGGTAGCAAAAAAATAATCAGGGAATACAATTTTTGTGGTTTTTTTTTTTTTTTTTTTGAGGCTAGAAGAGGGATTCAGTACAAGTTAGCAATATGTCAAAGAGTTATTTTTAATATATATACATGCAGACTTTTGCACCTATATATAGCAAGAAGTGTTGCTTATCTGTTAACAAGATCTACTGCTTAATTTTTATTATACCCTTGTTGAAAAAAGTATCCTGGAGGAATTGTATGCATTAACAATGAAGTATTCATTAAAGATAATGGTCTTCTGTAGAGATAAAGTTTTCATTGCTGCAATACTATATCAATAGAAAAGTGCTTTTCATAGGGGAAGTGACATGAGTTTTAATTGCAATTGTTTTTAAATTTTACGTATTTATATTTTAAGCACTCTGAGCTGCTCAACTTAAAAAAAAGCATGTCTGCCAACAGCTGAACTCCGCAGACAAATCTAAATTGCTACTTTCCCTTCTCTAATTAGAGAAGAGAATTGTTCAGGGGCATCTATAGAGTGACATCTGATTGACAAGCAGCTGGTCTGGAGCAAGGTTGGTCTCACACTTGCAGTAAAAATAGGAACAGTGATTTCTTGAGATTGATTGTGAAAATAGTTAAACTTTAATGAATAATACATCAGAAGAAAGGTAGTGTTCTTTTGGAAAGGATGTTTAGGATATTTTATCCGTTAAAAGAGAAAATTCTGGCTCATAGTACACAAACTGTGGATAGGATGTTTTCTTGCTAGTGAAGGAGCTGAATAATCAGTGTTCGCCAGTGAGATATTATGCCTGTTTTATATATTCCACATGGCAATTTATTTATTAAGAAACAAAGTATGACTGGCCTCATTCCAAGAAAAAGCAAAAGTAGTGTGGTGCAGTAGGTGACCTCCAATGAGCAATCTTTATTGGCATGCCAGATGTAGGAGGAAACATATTCAAATTTCAGTGTGCTGAAGGCATCTATCTCTATCCTTTGAGAATGGGGTGAGGCTGGGGATGTAGGTGAAGGAGGAATGCACACATACATTAGGTAAAGAAAAATGCAAGATTTTTTTTTTCCTTTAGAGCAGGAGTCAGCAACCTTTTTGCTAAAAGCTGGCTGCCTCTTGGGACCCTGGACATTGCTGTGGGCACCTGAACCCTGGTTGCTGCTTCAGCTAACTATGCTCCTTGTGGAGGGCTGCTCTCTCACCCCTTCACTGTAGCTTCTGCTCACCATTGCTGCCAGAAAACCTGGCAAACAAGCATTTGTAGTGACTAATTTGACAGCGACAGTGAATAGAGGCCATGGGGATGCAGGGCAGGAGTGACAAAGCAGCCCTCTGCATGGAGCATGGTCAGCTGGAGCTGGAGCAGAAATCAGGATTGTCTTCCAGACCAGAAAACACAGACCAGATCAGACCTATAGGTGCTGTTGTTTCTTCATATCTAGATTTGGCCTGTGTGCCAAAGGTTGCCAACCCCTGCTGTAGCTTTCCAAAACAAGAGGGTGGCTTTGAAGAAAGTTCAAGTTGATGTGGACAGATACAAAGTGTGTACATGAAATGAAGCACCCACCTACCATCCTAGAAAACTACCTACAGCTGATCTGAGTCTTCACCCCCAGCATGGAGGCTGGGAATAACATTTTCTAAAATGGAAGTTTCTTGAATTTGAGGAACCAGCCTCCAGCACAGATTTCTACAAACTAGATTTTGAAGTTCAGCACTTAAACTGCACTAGTTAACTCTTTGTTCTACTTAAAAGAACTTACTCCTGGATCCTCATTCAATCATGAAGCTCTCTGGCTTAACTGAATCTGCACGTCATCTGTTTGATAATGTTTAGATCATAGTTTCAGAGGTTTTGTATACTATGGAGTATATTTGCCTTGTGCACGATTCCCCTTCTGGAAATCCTAGTTCTTTTTAAAATGTTCCTCATTCCTAAGTTACACTAGAACAACTAACTCCTACAGGGACTCCCTATTCTGCAGTGCTAATTTCATCTTTTAAAGATGACTGGGGAACAGAATCAAGAAACTTACATTTACCTATCCTTAAAAATGTTAGTATAGTCCAAATTCAACCCACAGGCAAGTATATGCTCCCTTCCTGTTCCCAAAAGCAGGAAACCCATACAAGCCTCTACAGGAGCATTTTGGTCCTTCCGTTTTATTTAAGAAACAGGAAATAAAGAATGTTATATGTACCTTTGTGTTACACTCTCTTAATCATATATATTTCAGTTATATATATTCATGACAGAGCGCTAAGGTGGTGTGTGAGAGAAAGGGAAGAGAACATGGATAGGACATGCAGGCCTACGCACAGGAGACAGTCTCTACCCCCCGCAAATTAGCCAATAAAAACATCTTTTAGTCTCCCAATGATAAAGCAGGCACCTGGAAAGACTACAGTCAAGGATAAGTTCTGTTTAACATAATAATGACATTTACACCTAAATGCACATTAGAGATGTATACAATACAGTAGTTCAAAAACCAACCAGTGTGTCGCTGTCTATCAGAGGCAGAGCCCTGTGTATTGTGCAGCATATTGGATCTAAATTCTTTGGCAAGATCCCCAATACCCCCTGGTTTCTGTGGAATTTTGGCAAGGAGTTCAGTGGTGGTCAGTTTTCTGCAGCAGAATGAAATAGAAAACACAGTAAAAGAAATAAATAAAACAAACCGTGGCAAACTTCAAGGAAATGTTAACTCTGTAATTTACAAAGAAAATTTACATGTGTGCTCATACAAAGGGCAAAACTTAAGAAAGCAAACCCAATACAGTGAATTCCCCTCTCCTCCCACACACAACCATATAAGTGCTGGGAGAGATGCATCTTGCTTGGCATGCTCCATATGCAATGCGACAAAAATGGGGTGAGCCTTTCTGCATCCCTAACTCCATGCAGCACATGGCCTTCCACATGCTTTGCCCCTGAGCCAGCTTCTCTTTCCTGAGACTGACATTTTGGTTCCTCGGTGCCCCTTCTCCGCTCCCTCTGCCCAAGCAGCACTTTACCACCGCTCTTCTACATGAGGACACCATGCCAGTGAGGTAGCATTTTCTAGGGGCCCCAATCAAGGAGAAAATTCCACTGCTACTTCTGTGACTACACCGTATCAGACAAGAGGACATGATCACAGAACAAGCATCATAGTATGTAGAGAGCAAAGCATGTCATAACACGTGTTTCATACAGTGCTTTTTTTTTTTTATTTTATTTTTTTTTAGATACAACTGTGAAGATTTATCATTTTTCAGACTTCCTTTCATATTAGGAAACTGAAAAAATTAACAGTCAAACCTGAGAATAAAGCAAGTTACTGAGTGATTCAAAGAATACTTTTGTAGTAAATCAAAGCAGTATGCACTCTCTCTCTTCTTTGCTTGTCCTAATGGTAGGTGTAGAATTGACCTTACTGGGTCACAAAACAGTTACACAGATGAAATGTAATGAACCTGAGAAGCAAACGAGCTTCAGGTGAAGACAGGAACCAAGATACTGTAGTGACAATGTCATTAGTCAAACCAGAATGGTACGCTCTCTGCTATTTATCACTGTGCTATTTTTGAGTTGATAATCAAATGCAAAGATCAACTCCTAGAACCCATTAGCATGAAACTTGTTCTCAACTTTGAAATGGTGTTCTCTTCTTTTTAATGGGAGGTTTGATTTTTAAAAACTTCATAGATTTTATTCCTCACAGTTTTCGTCAAATTCTACGAAAATAAGAAAAGTTTGAAATTCCTCAGTTGCTGACAGCTTTAAGTTATTGCTTTCTTGGATTTGGGGTGGCTATGAGAGGAGTGTTTTAGAAGAGATGGGAGAGAGAGCTACAACTGTGTCCTACCACTTACAAGATAGTGCAGTCAAATCTACGACATTTGCCTTGAAGAATTAGATGTAGCTCAGATGATGCTAGTGGATAAAACACCATTGTGAAAGCTCAGACAGGTGCCAAAGGGCAATTACATAAATGAGAGACAGTACGACGGTGCAAAAAAAAATAGGGAGGAGAAAGTATCACTGAATCTGCCAAATACCAGAAATATTAGTAGGAAGAATTCAAGCCTAACCTTTTACAATAAGGAACCAAGTACAGATGCCAAGCATGAAAGGACTAATACAAAAAATTCAGTAGTTTGACAGGCCACTAGCTGGTGCTTATACTGCTATCAGAAGATATCTATTTGTGTCCTATTCCCATGTTCTAAAAGAAATGATGTGGTGAGAGTATTGGGGAGGTGTCATACTCTTAGGGTTGATTAGGAAGGAGTGCCTTTTGTTGCAGCACTGACCCTTTTGATTAAAAGGGAAGTGAAGAAGAGAGTCTCATTCTGGCAGATAAAGATATTAAAAGAAAAGGGTGAAGGGAAAAGAAAATATAAAGAAGGGTCTTGAGAAAAGATGAGCATTTGACAGCATAAGTGGGACTCACTGGAGTCCTACAACCACTACTTTGTAAATGGTATAAAAGACAAGATGTAAAATACAGCCCTGCTTTGGGATGACATTACAGTTGGTCAACAGGACCTCTTGAAGGTGCTGTACTTGAGATCTCCATTTATCTTCTGCCCATGTACAGTACAAATTCATCCATCACATGAGGGGCCAAGCTCTGCTCACCTGGCAGGGTTTCTGTTGGTGTTAGCCCTTTCTAGATCAGGTCAAGCATCTCTTTCTAGAGCAGGTCAGACATTTTTAATGGTTTCATTGAATCAATTCTCTACCAAAAATGCAATTTGGGATACTGTTTTTTGCAAAATCATATTAATTTGGTCAATACTTCCTGAGAAGAGAATGTATTTTAAATAAGCATTATTTTGAAAGGCTTTATTTTGGAGAAAAATAAAATTCAATATTTAAAAATGTACTGTTTTTTCATTTGAATTATGCTAATTTTGCACTATTGAATGCCAGATTTTGTTCTGCATAATATGACATGACATAATGGCTGATATATTCCACTAATTTTATATGTTGATTAACGTTTGTTAGTAGTACTGACTGAAACTCTTATTGTTTTCCAGCTGGAAGTGTTTCCTGTTTTTGTTATAGTGAAACAACACCTTGAACAAGAAAATAAGATAAGCATCTAGCTTACAAAAGAGAAGAGCAGCTGTTTTCATTGTGCTTGCAAAAAACAATTTAACACACTGAAATTTTTGTAAAATGAAATGAGATAAGCATTTAGTGTACCAAAAAGGAGCCACTGTTTTCAATAACTTGGAAAAAGAATTTCAAAAGTAAAAACAGCAGATCATCTAAGTAGTTCATTGTGTGCTTAGCTTTTTTTATAGTTCAAACTATTAAAGTTTCAAATTGCTTCATTACACCACAATATAGGAAGTTGTTTTTTTTTTAAGATAAAAAATGTTTCAACCAAAATAAATTATTTTAACATGGTAGCAGTATTAGTCCATAATATGATATGTAATATATTGACATGACTTGACAAATATGCTATATTATGCACTACTACTGACATATAATCAGATAATTAAAAACAGTAAGTTTGGAATAAAATATTGTTCTTAAATGAGACTGAATTTGATATTTTTTCCTTTTCTGAAAATAAGCATTATCAGAATTTCCTGTTCATGATGTGTTTAAAAAAGTATTGTTTTCACTGTTTTGAAATAAAAATGGATTTTAAAATGCTGAAATTTCTGTAGAACAGAAAATTCCAAGTTTCAACCAATATTTATCCTTGCATACACTGGCTGTAGGGTAGATATGGAGCTTATAAACCAACTAAATATGATACATGGAGAGCATAAGCCATCAGGAACAAGTCTGTCCTGGCTTATAGGTAGCTCACAACCTCAAACAGCATCTCTCAAGTAACACACTAATTAATTCCCAGCCTCATCAGGGCACCAGGCTTTGCACAGTGCACCCAAAAGCTTGCTGTGCCCTCACATCAATACAGACCACATCATCACTGGACCTAATAACAAAGAGTACACCTTGAGGTTCATTCACCTGCAATTCTACCAATATCACATATGTCACCACCTGCTTATGGTGCCCCTCTGCTGTCTTCATCAGACAGTCATAGTGAGCTCTACATAATGTATAAGAATGAATGAACACCACTCTGACACGAGCTGCAAAAAGACACAAAGGCCTGTGGCAGAACGCTTGAACCTTCCTGGACATTGCATTGCAGACTTCAGGATTGCTGTTCTCAGGCAGTAAAATTCAAAAAGCCAGCTTGAACAGGAAACTGCATTCGCAAACTGGACTGTACTAAGTATGGTTTAAACAGGGACTGTGGATTTTTACCCCACTACCTGATTAGCTTTTGTGACCACTTTGTTCGTATGGGTTCTTCACTTGTTTGCCTCTCCCAGCACTGTTCCCCTCCCTCTTTCTCCCTTCCCTCCCATCCTTTCACTCCTCCCTTCCCTTTTGTATTCGAATCACTCATTCCACTTTATACACTGATCTGTGCTGTCCCTTCATAGCATCTGATGCAGTAAACTCGAGTTCATGAAAACTTATGCTGTCTATTTATCTTATTTATCCTTTAAGTTGCATAACTCCCCTACCTTCAGTCTAACTTCAGAGTAAGATGGCTAGCTACCTTTCTATGCACTGTGTGTGTCTGGCTTCTGTGTAAGGGCAATGGAAATTTGAAAGACTCTTTTCTCCCTCCACATCATAAAACTTCCAGGAACAAACACAACCTGACCCAAAGGCCTTTTCATATTCTTAGAGGGTATAGATCTCATAGATGTCATAGAAATTAGGGCTGGAAGGGGCCTCGGAAGATTGAGTCCAGCCCCACCCCACAAAGGGCAGGAAGTCAGCTGGGGTCATAGGATCCCAGCAAGATAAGCAACCAAATTTCTCTTGAAGGCGTTCAATGTAGGTGCTTGAACCACCTCCGATGGCAGGCTATTCCAGACCTTGGGGGCTTGGACAGTAAAGAAATTCTTCCTTATGTTCAGCCTGAAATGGTCTTGCAGTAGTTTATAACCGTTCGACCTCGTCATCCCTTGGGGTGCTCTGGTGAACAAACATTCCCCCAGATACTGGTGGTCACCCCTGATAAACTTCTAGGTGGCCATTAGATCACCCCTGAGCCTGCGCTTTTCCAGGCTAAAGAGCCCCGTGGCGCTCAGCCTGTCGTTGTAAGGTCTGTTTTCCTGACTTCTGATCATGTGCATGGCTCTTCTCTGGACTCTCTCAAGCTTCTCCACATCCTTTTTGAATTGTGGAGCCCAAAACTGGACTCAGTATTCACTTATATGACTTCCAACTAGCAATGCAAATATAAATTCTTGTTTTACTCACTGTTTATATACAAAAGCCAAAACACAGGGAAGTCACATATCTGTTTAATGTAAAATACTTTCATAATGACATTTCCATTTTAAGGTAAACTTCTGGTGAATGGTATAATACTGGTCCTCTCCTTAAATAGTAGAGGTGCATGTTCCACCAATAAAAGCCACTCTGATCCTGGAAACCTTTGTTCAAAAACTGGCACTGTGCTGGACCAGAACTCTGACATCTGGAACTCTTTGGGCTAACTCCAGATTACAGGGGAAAAAAACAAGATTTTGCCAGAGGTCATCTTTTTCAAGGATGGGCCAGGTGCCCATGGCCAAAAACAAACTGC